CAGATGTTCTTGCCTTTCTGGTAAACCTATTTGACAATCATTAACTACATTATTTTCTCCTAAACAACCATCCAACCTTATATTAAGTATACTCTTGAATAGCTTACCGATTGCATTAGTGATGGTTAGTCCTCTATAATTATTTGGGTCAGTGAGGTCTCCTGACGTGTGTAATACTGTGATGTAACCTTCAGTCCAATTTCTTGGGTATAATCCATGAGACAGACAAGAATTAAATATTTTCGAAAGAGATGACGGTAAAATAGTTTTACTGTGTTTAATTATATTGTTTGAAATGTTATCCAAGCCTGGTGACTTGTTACAATGTAGTTTTGAAATGGCAAAATTCTCTGTTATAAGTTTATCAAGATTATTAAAACAAACATTTTTTTTCAAGATTAGCTAATTTTTTTCAACAGCCACTCTTTCTTTGAATGAATCGTGTATTTGATATAATCCATTGAAATGTGAAACCAAAGCAGATGGTGCAACAGTAGAACTATGATCTTTATGATCCTTATTTTTTAAATCATTAATCAATTTCCAATATGATTTGGGATTATCATCATGTAGATTCTGTAACTGTTCAACAAGTGATTTTTTATATTCTTTATATTTAAATTTTCTAAGTTTTGAGTATTGCTTGTTGAGCTTATAAACGTGACCTTTCACTATTGGGTCATAAGGAAATTTCGAATATACTTAACCATATCTTATTAGTTTGTTACGGAGATGGTGCAAATCTCCATCAAACATTTTTTTTTGTCTTCATTTTCTTATTCCTTTGTTTATTTCTTTTTTATAAAAGAGAATTAGTAGCAGCAGACAAGAAAATATGTGATAATTCTGCTGCAGCCTCATCGACTGAGGATTGAGACTCTTTGATGATACTTTTATTAAATGTACCAATTTGCGTTTTTATATCTGGTAATAATAAAGCTGTCTGAAATTTTGTAGGTGATTCATCTGACCACGTGAAGTTTGGTGATTTATCAAACATATTAATATTACAATTATTATGATCAACAGTAAATTAACTTGATATTCTAATGAAATCTATTGTTTGCCCTAGTATTAGGTCTACATACATTATAACAATTAAAAGGACCTATTCTATGAATATTGGACTCATATCCAATGTATGTTTCAGCAAAAAAAGCTTAATCATAGTTATCAATTTTATTTAAGAAAAGAGGATCGTCTGTTTTGTTACCCTCCTTGTTCATAAGGCCTCTTACATTAAGAAAGCACATTTTCAATGATGTGATTGGTTTTGGTGACACAGTCCCTTCTATTCTTTTATTACTTTAAATATTTAATAAAGTTAAAAAAAGAAAAAGAAATATTTAGTACACTTTCCAAGTGTTTTAATCTTTTATATACAATATGATCAAGAAATAGGGTTATTCAAAATGATAAACCTTTCTTTAAGGTGCTAATTAAAGAATTATAATTAAATGGCCGTCAAGTTAAATCAATTGTTTGTTTTCCTGACTTTTAATTTTGATTTTTTTTTCTTATAAATAAACTAAGTTTGTAGTTTACCAAAACTCCCTTATGTGCAAATTTTACACATTCAATTTAAACGTAGGGAATAAAATAAGGACAATCCTTGTGTAATTTAGTATCAATTATATTAGCTACTAACTAACAATAATATGACCTTTAACTATTTAAACAATAATGAACAATATGAAAAGTTTACAATAAAATCTTTGTTCATTTATGACATCCTGAGTTTTATATGGTAAACAAGAACATGCAAGTTCTGTTGCATATATAATAAAAAAAACATGTTATATGTATATAAATAATATATATATATGTGTAGAACATCATTGACATTATCATCATTGTACAAAGTTACTCTGCATCTCCATGGCCACGGCCACGCCCTCTGCCTATTCCTGTTCTGTTACGAGATTGACTTCTTGGTCTACGAGTCGGTGGAAGCGGAATGTTTTAAAAGGATTTGGTGGACGGCTTGCTTTATATTGGACGCAAGATATGATACACACTTATCATTTAGGTAGTACAAGCCATTCTATAACAATTCCTCATTTGCCTGACCCTCATAGTACATGTTGTTATGCTCAATGAGTTGGACGTTCTCTGAATAATGCTTTCCATAAAAATGTTGTTTAATCAGAGCTTTAACAATCTGACCATTAGTGTGATGCATTATATCATCTTTCCTTGGAGTGGCAAGTGAGATTTAACATTTTGTTTCACTCCATTTCTCTTGAATAAGGGATATTAGTGCGAACAGCTCACTTGCACAATTGTGTGGGTTTTTTGTCTTCAGATCGTTGGTAAGTATGTGTAATACAACAACAGCTGGTGGTGTTTGTGGATTATAACCAAGGATATACTCATTTGTATTATTTCCTTAATTACATATACACTTGACGACAATTTGTCTTCGTTGATCCCACGAATATTTGACGTTCCTAATAGAAGGACACTAGGTTTCCATATTGATTGTTGGTCAACTTGTTCTTTAGTCTGATGGTGTGATTTGGATGATGCAGTTTCAGCACGGTGACCAGAAATATCCATTGATGTTGAAATTTGACTTTTGAGGTTGAGTATTTCATTGCTTTATCCAACTGTAACCTTAAATTGTGCTCAGATTCATAAAGTGTTTGTAGGTCTCGGTTTTTTGCTATAAGCTGATTAGCATTAAAGTCAAGCTTAGATTTTATGAATGAGTCAAGTTTCTCTAATTCCTTTCTAGTCTCTTCTAGCAAATTTCTACAATGATTGTTCAAATCAGCATACTGACATTTTAAAAGTGTAACATGCCCCTTTTCAATTTGTATTTGTGACTTCAGAGATTCTTTTTCCTCTTGTAATTTTTTGATTTTTTGTTGTACTGATTGTAATTCTTTGGACAGAGTGTCCTTATCTGTGCTCTTCTGGTCAAGTTGAGACTGGCCTTGCAAAAGAAGTATTCTGCACCAGTTATAGCCTCTAAGATAGTCGTAGTGTCTTTTCCTTGACTAATTTCAAGTTTACAAATAGTATCTATGAAGCATTGTTGAATACGAGACAAATTGACTTTAGTTTGTGCAGAGGTATCTGCTGCATTGTTATCATTGTCAATGTTTGGCTTGGATTGATTTAGGTTTTTGTGAAACCTCAGATTTTTCTTCATTTATATTGTTTGTATCAGACTTGGTTTGTTTCTCTGAAACAGTCATTACTTGATCATTTATTGTTGGGTGAGTGACCTCTTCGTGATCTTCGATTTTTTTCATGGAAGTCTCTTCATTGTTACATGTTTCTAACAATTTCAATATCTCAATCAAGATTCGGAAAAGTTTTTTCTACAAATGAGAGGTAGCTACTTCCGTGTACTCTAATAGTACCTGTTGTTACAAAAAATGTGACATCATATTTCAAGATATGTTCACTTTGATCCCTCACTTTTATTAATATTGAGTTAGCAACATCATGTCTGTCTGACCATGTTTCTGGTATATCTGACCATTTTATTACATTATCTTCTTGGTTATCCAGGCTTTCAAATTAAAGTAGGCTGAGAGATTTATCCAGCGTTGGATTCTATTTATAGAAGTGTGAAATGTTATCATTTGTGCACTTTCTTCATACATATTTATATCTATTGCCTCGAATGGAAATGTCTTTGCCTTTCCGGTGCGCTTATTTAGTTTTGTTGGTAAACAACTAGATGGGTATTCTTTATTTATCTTTGACATATCTGTGTCAATCTTAACGTGTTTTTTTTATATTTCGTTGGTCGCCATTTTGAAAATCGAGAATGAGATTTTACAACGTGCTCGGTGAACAATTTGTAGTCTTAAGAAATGCACCTACTGCCCCGTATCTAAAGTTTGTAGATTGCTATAATAGTATTAAAACCTAAAATAACAAAAATACCGAACTCCGAGGAAAATTCTAAACGGAAAGTCCCAAAGCAAATGGCAAAATCAAAAGCTCAAACACATCAAACGAATGGATAACAACTGTCATATTCCTGACTTGGTACAGGTGTTTTCTTATGTAGAAAATGGTGGATAAAACCTGGTTTTATAGCTAGCTTAACCTCTCACTTGTATGACAGTCGCATAATATTCCATTATATTGACCACGATGTGTGAACAAAACAAACAGACATAATAGGTAAAAATGTCAAAATAGGGGTACAGCAGTCAACATTGTTGTACTGGCCGGACCAGTAGGTATATCCAGGTGACTGAATCGCAATTTCGGCGAATATATAAAGAAAACAACTTGTTTGGAAAATTGTAATTATGATATTCCACCAGAAAGGTTACAGTAGTCAAGTGTATTGGTAAACTGCAATAAAACAAAAAGCAATACTTACAATGTGTATGAATAGAACATATTAAGTTTAAATGCAAATATTATATAAAACAATCAAATGAAAATGAAAATAGAATTTACAAATCAAATCTCGGATATAAATAACCTACAGTTCGTATGCATTTAATAAATGACTTATCCAAATTAACGGAGTTAATCAGATTTAATTATCACAGTTTATGAATGAATCAAACGTACTTGACAGTGATTCTGTATGTCTCGATTTCCTCAGAATATTAAATGTCGTCCATGTAATATCACAGGGGTTTGTTACAATTTACCGGGTTTACTATCCATACGAACCCCGAAAAAACCACAAGGGAGGAAGCTCATTTGCGACAATGCTTCAAATTATCGTTTCAAAATTTTTCTAAGACTTTCACTTACTTTGTGATCTGAATAAATCTGTTCCCACTTGAATTGTCTTTTCAATGACATATAGGTTTATCCTTAAGTAACCTCTATAACCATTGTAATCCTTAAAACAAACTTGGCATTTCTGGAATAGAATGAATCGACGCCCTACATTTGAAAATGAAAGTACTAAAGCGACACCTACCGGAAAATATATTTTCGGAACTCTCTGGATTTTACCACAATTGTAATGATTTTCGGAAGTCTACGGTATTTTAGATTTCAATAATGTAAAAATGGCGGGAGTTAAAGGGATGGATCGAATCCAAAACAAAGCTCTTCACATGGCATTGGCAGGTCATAATGTCTTGGTGACAGGATTTCCTGGCACTGGACAATAGTTTTTAATTTCCGAGATTGCCCAAAACTTAAAATTATCTGGCAAAATAGTTGCTGTTACTGCAACCACGGGAAAGGCTGTACAGGTCCTCCAAGGGAAAATCCCACCAGCATCAAAACTACAAGTGTCGACAGTCCACAAGTTTTTAGGACTCAAAGATGGAAGATATTCAAACGAAGAGCTGGTTTCACTTCTTCAAAGTGAAGAATCTTTCTCAACAAAAAATAAAAACATTAAAACAATTGACTGCCTCATCATTGATGAGATTTCCATGCTAAGCACTAAGTTGTTCGAACAAATTGAGTGTGTGCTAAGTGAAATAAGACAAACTCCTTCGTTTGGTGGAATACAGCTGATTTTGTCAGGGGATTGTTTTCAATTGCAACCTGTTGCCAACCCAAGTTATGGGGACAACGGTTCGTACTGTTTCCTTTCCAGATTTATCAGATGTTTAAATCACGTGCAGTTGACAGAAATGCACAGACAGTCAGAGCCCGACTTAATAGCGGCAATACATCAGTCTGCAAGGTATGATCAATGACAGTAAAATATATCTGTCAGTAACTGCTACTGGTTGTACAATACATAGTTTCAATAAGCTCCCAAAATATAGTCCAATTGTTAATACTTGATGATGATCGGTACTCTATAATATGTTATAATTTATAGTTATAAAAGGTGGGCTTCACATCCTGTCTTTCAAACTAACGCCTGGATTTTTATCCAAATATACCAAAATATATCAAATCAATTCTTATTAACCAAATCATGACAAATGTTTTACATCATATAGATCTACTATAGTTACAAAAAAAGGCGATCATGGTAAAACAGACTGGAGAAGTACAGTAATATACGTGAAAATATCTAGGCCTGTACATAAATATTACTTAGTTATTTAATGGAATTCATTGTCGCTCAACTGGATTTTTTTACCGGTCTTCCTCTTCTTAAATTTCTTATTTGCCAACCCTGTAGGTTAAGAAATATATAAAATAAGTAGTTGGTCCTATAATGACTTGATATAAACATAGAGATATTTACGGACAACAATTGGATGATCACAAAAAGGGGGTCCAGGTCGGAATCCCCATTGTGACGGCTAATGCGGACATATGGTTGGTACCTCTACATTATCCTATAATAACCCCCATTTTTAAATGACTGGACAAACTGATACCAATAACAAGAATGTGTTCATAGTACAGATGCCCCATTCGCACTATCATTTTCTATGTCCATCGGACCGTGCAAATGGGATCAAAACTTTAATTTGGAATTAAAATTAGAAAGATCATATTATAGGGAACCAGTGCCGGATCTAGAAATTTTCATTAGTTGGGGCCCACTGACTGCCGAAGAGGGGGGCCCGCTCCGGTAATGCTTCAGTGATTCCCTGTATAATCAACAAAATTTTTCGAACGCACAGACTAGAAAACATAATGCCCAAAGTGGGGCATACAAACGAGGGGTCCGGTAATAAAAAATAAAACCGTACTGAAATTAGATGCTCCGAAATGATAAGGTTTTCCTGTTCCTCTATGTGGCACATGTCTGCGTATTTCAACACGCTTATTGATATAGACTTGATATTTTGGTGGACTCAGCTCCGGATCGAACAAACTCAAGCACTCCCAACAACAATTTAAGCCACGAATTCAACAAGGAAAAACAATAAAAAGTGTTGAAGTGATATTTTTCAGGTTCAATAAAGACACAAATCTTATAAAATTGTATTTTTTACGTTTCATTTTTTTAGAGGTCATAAAAAGGTTGAAGAGAACTTTACCACCAGGTCCAAAACCTCTAAAGCTATTTGCTATGAATTTAGATGTTGAAATTTATAACTCGGAATGTTTGCTGGAAATGGAAGGTATATAATATAGATAAATATATAAAGTATACATACATTTGCAGTAAAAAACAAAACCCAAATGAATATTGCCACTATAAATTGTCTGCTGATATATCATTCATATGAAAAAGGCAGTATCTACGGTATTTAAAAAAAAGTATTGAAATTATTTTTCAGAATATAATGCATTTCGTTTATGAAACCCGAATGGAAGCTAAGTCGGTACCAAACTTTTCTTTATTTGCATTTTCTATTCTTGTCATCATGAAAAAGATGTAAAGCCCGACCATATTCACGTTACAATGACTTCACTTAACAAATTCACGTTTAGAATGGTGAAATGTACCTGTAAAAAATAGATTCATGTAAATTTCATCTATGGTGTGACGGTTAGCGTGCACGCCTGGTGTGCGAGAGGTGGTAGGCTCGAACTTCGGTCGTGTTTAAGTGACAAAGACTTGAAAATTGGTATTTGCTGTTTCTCCGCTTAGCACGCAGCATTCAGGAATAAGAGCAAAGGCTGAGTCCGAATAATGTGCATGTATAGGGTGACATGTGTTCCCGTGAACTAGAACTTTAAAAATCCGGCTCAGCGTGACAACAGTACAAAGCACAGTGGCAGATGCAAAAAGGGGGGGGAGGGGTCCAGGTGTTAGTAATCATTCATTTTCATATTATCATGCTCCCGTCTTAAATATGCATCTGACCTGCCACTGGACGTTAAGTGATTATCCATCATCATAATCAAACAGATTATTCAGTTTTATTTTTTTTTAAATGACATGTATAATAATTTTTTCGTTCATAATTTTAAGAACTTCTGTTTAATGTCTTTCACTTAAAATTCAAAAATGTACATGTATTCTATAGGAACAGTCTAAATTCGGCATAGTGTTCTCTTTTTCTTTGATAGAGGTACATTAACATGAAAAGAATACGGATCAGTAGTAGGTAACCCTGCGTTAGATTGTCGGGCTCTTGACTTAGTGGTCTGACCTAATATTACACTGTTCATTGTGTTGCAATATACATGATAATTCGGATTCGTGGACTTACCATTGTACAGTCCCCGTTGTTGGCAGAAAATATTTTCTGCAAGGTCAGAATTAAACCTACTAGGATATACCCAACGTCCTTTAAATTCTGTTATATGGACTCGGCACACTCTTGTAAAGACGACTATCATGCTTTCAACATCGTCTAAGCATTTAATGCTAGGAAGCATCCTCTCGAGTTCCTTTGGTGTTTTCTTTATTACTTTTATTTCATTTCTCCAGTTATTGAACCAATCTAGAACATGATTTAGAATGTTCAATCTTGCGTCCTGTATATCCGTCACTGGACGAGGATCTCTAAATACCGTTATAAGTTTGCTGGTCTGTTGAAGTAAGTCAATGGCACTGTTTAAAACATAACCATTGATTAATGAGTTCGATTAAGACTTCATAAGCTGAAGCATGTCCTCGTTGAGAACTTCTTCAGCAAGATGATTGCGCATCTCATCAGCTGTATCTGGATGAAGATGAGAATAACTAAGCTTGTAATGGATTTTTCGCGAATTTGTTTGTTCGTCCCATCGGGCAGCATTTAACCACTGCTCCCAAACTATTACATTACCTTTCTTGTTTAACAATTTTGTATTGTAAGTATTAATTCCACTACTCAAAACTGCATTCCGCAATTTTTTCATGTTATGTGAGAAATCCTGACAGTGATAAACCTTTCTGTCAGGATGTACTAAACTGTCGAACATAAAGTAGTTCTTTCTGGGTTCACCGGTAAAGTGAAGCTTCGTAAACTCTCTGTTTTGTTGTCCCCCGTCTTGCATTATAAAGTCTACTATGAACCCCCACGACTGTAATTGAGAAATCAAATCCCAAATTATGATATACAGCTCAGAGGCTTTTACTCCATCTGTTGGGAAGTGGGCAATCGGAAATCGGAATCCCGTGTACCCAAGAAATGTTATTTGTAACACATCTGTTGCCAGCTTTCTACTTTGTTTTCCTTTACAATCCTCAAATTTTCGGCCTCACTTCCAGTATCGATCCAACCCACAAGTTCAGATCTTCCTCCCTTCACATTTAATACCAAATCTTCTTGGATTTTTGCTTCATCGTGGATCAGGCCGCCATGATAGCCAGAAGGGGGTAAATTTACTTGTATGGCGGTATTTAGCATCCATCTGAGTACATCATTGTTTAACCCAGGTTTCTGCTCTACACTGCTTTTATATCTTCTTAATTGGCGACCAGAGGGCAATTTGAAAATATTACTGTACCTTAACTGCTCATAACATTTAACACTGCGAGACCACAAACTTAAGCATGTTTTTATAACTGACTTGTCCCAAGTATTCTTTGATGAATTTAAAATGTCATGCTGGCTACGGAGAAAATCTTGCATTTCTTGTGATGCTCCAGGAAATACTTGTTTTAAAATTTTTTTCAGATCCTCCTCATCAACTTTATTCAGATCTATCAGGTCTGTTTCCTCATTCTTAAATGCGTTTAAGTTGTTTATACATGTGTGACATGAATCACCTGTACATGACCAGCCAACCACATGTTTACATGTTTTTGATCTCATTTTAATATTTTGTGTATTTTCATCCCCCCTTTCTGCGAGATTATATGAATTGGAACCTTTGTTTTATGTTCTGTTTCAATTCCAGTGCAAATTTTAATTTTATGGACGATTTCAAAAATCTCATGAAGGTTGCTTGTTGTGCAATAAAATGTATTAGTTATGTCCAGGTCTTCCAGGACAACTATCCGACCGCGTATTTTCAGTTCCCATAATTGTTCTTTGAAGTTTAATGTTATTTCCTTCATTACGATGTTACCATTGCATACGATATCTGACATCATGAAAATAATTACAGATGTTGGAGTTTGTTCAAACAACATGCTTTGGTACTTCAGATGACACTGAATGCTCCATGGACTTACCAAGCTCGTATCTCTGTTTTCTTTCCATGAAAGGCCTACATTTATAAGAAATCTGTCTTCGCCTGACCTACCTCTTAATATTTTTCTGTTAGGAAATAATCTAAAAACGATTTGGGACAATTTGTTATCAGAAATGGTAGATGTACCAGATGTAGCTTCTTCAAATTTCTCTTTCAGGGCTTTACATGTTATTCTACCGTCTGTACTTTCACAAACAGTTGAACATAACCTGCAACAATAAAAGCATACTTAGCCGAAAATATTCTGAAATATACTCATTTTGATATTATCACGAGACATGAAATTGTTGGGTGTTACTAAAAGATTGAATCGGAAAACGGAACGGATTTCAAAAACTGGAACGGGAATGAATATTCATACTGACTGAATCCGTATCAACACGTTTTTGGTTGTATTTTCGTAGATACGTAACCAGATATATGTATTGTAGTTAATCATTTCGTTCGCATTAGTTTGACAGGCTGTCCAAAAAAAGAAACATTTCCAGTTTGATATTTCCGTTCCATTTTCTGATTTCGCATTTTAGCAACACCTGAGTTTTTTCTTAGTTGGAGAAAAAGTTATTTTGACGATATGTTGAATAAATTGTTATGGCAAATAAAGGAGTACTTGTATACATGTCTAATGTTTCGTCTCAAATATGAATCAGTATGTCTACAAATAAGACAGTAGCCAGAAACTAATCTTATTTTATTCATTTACCGGCCAAAAATAAGTCATAGCAGATGTCTATTACTAGACTAGTAATGGACTTCTTGTAATTGTAAGTCATTGTCTAAAAAGTCAGTAGAGCTTAAAAGTCTTATGGTTCTTATCTTTATTGCCAGGAGACATGAAAGTTTTTGAAGCAGAAGACGACGGGGACTTAGGAAAGCTAGCTTCTGTTTCTGTACCAAAACAAGTAGCAGTTAAAGTAGGATGTCCTGTTATTCTGACAGTTAATCTATCAGACGAGCTTGTAAATGGACTAGCCGGTGAGGTACGAGCCATAACTCATGATACAGTTGATGTTTATTTCGAATCATTGAAGAGACGGATGACATTAAAGCCTTTTTCTTTTACTGTTTATGATGCCAACAAGAAAATCGATGTTGCATGCAGAACACAGTATCCAATACGATTGGCATTTGCCCTTACTGTTCACAAAGCACAGGGCTTAACTGTAAACAGAATAAGCATTGATTGTACACAAATGTATCAGTTTGGTCAAATTGCAGTTGCAATAAGTCGATCACAACAAAGAAAGGCTTACATATAACCAACTTCGGCAAAAGACTTTTAAGAAATCCACCGAGCAATATCCTGGAATTTTATGGCAAAGAACAATATCTACCTAAAGTGGATTGGTCATGTTGTAAGAAACATGTGCCTGAGGTCCTAGAAACGTGTAGTCAAGAGTATGAGGAGTTATTTACTCCATTTGAAGACATAACTGAAACTTTATCTGATGATGACACAGAGGCTATGATCGGCTTAGTAGACTTAATGGAAGACGAGAGTGAAGAAACTACTGTAGAGTACAAGTTACCAGACACTATTTCAGTCTCCGCAATCTTAGAGAATATCAAGAGCATTGGAGAAACAGAACAGCAAATACAGGAAAACCAAGTTATAACGGTTATGAAAAATTCCGAAAACACTCAAAAACTAGTCAAATATTTATGGAACTCATTCTACAGTCTGAAAGAAAAAAATTTCAAGAATAAGGAAGGCTCAGTTACAGAAAATAAGACCGTGTCGGATTTCTACAAAGCAGTACATGTTATCATGTCAGGTGATAAACTAAAGAAATTGAGCACAGCCTTTGGTTCTGATCCAGTAGCCAGAAAAAATGTAGTATTCAAATTGGCTTCTGCTATCAGAAACTGCGTTTTAGAATCCACTGCAGCGCCTTTGAGAGAAAAGGCAGTGGAGACAGCTCAGACCGAAAGGGGACAAGAATTTCCCAGTCAGATGGAGGAAGGGGGAAAATAAGATATATTGGGGGGGGGGGGGGGGGGTGTATTTCACAAATTAGAAAGAAAAAGGTGTCGGCAATATCAAAATTGTTATATAAACCTAACAAAACTGATACAGTCCGAGAACTTAAATGCGAATTGAAGTGTTTGCAGCAGGTTGTTGACAGCGAGAGATTTTTGGCTGAACACTCTACTGACAAAGGATCGTTACTTGATACAAGACGGAAACAAAACGTGAGGAGTAGGTTGACCAACATCACCGACGAAGCGCAAAACTTTTTTATGATGCTGAATAAAAAAGTTCGCCAGCTAGAAACAACTTCTAATCTTAACGTTCATGGCGCTAGTTTTGATATGTACATGCAAACTCAGTTAAGAACTGACAATGTTATATTGTGTACTTTTAGCAAACTATCTAATCCCACGACACCGGGCGATACGTGTAAAAAACTGCTTTTTGAGGTCTTGTCAAAATACTGTATAATGTCATTAGGTCAGTTAAGGAAAACATATTTGAAAGAAGTTCAAACTACAAAAACAGAGGCTCACAGGAAACAGATAAAAATGAGGGGTAAAGGACGCAAGGTTGATAGTATCTTTAATTTTGATGCTATTAAAGAGGATACAACAGAACATAAAGAGATGTCCCATAAAAGGCTGCAATACAAAGTCATGAAAACCGAAGACTACCTCATTAATTTCACAAAAAGAGAACTCCATTTATTATGTATAGCGTACGGAATTACAGCCAGGAATTACAAAACCAAAGCGCAAATATCAACAATTTTGAAACAGTGTATATGAAACTCAGCTAATATGTCAAACCCTTCAGCTTTAGATAAGGACGAAGAAAAAACTGTTGAAGATATTGAAAAAGTTTCGAGCAGTAGCATTCCCATTGGAAAGGAGGGGGGCAAATTATCAGCTAAAAGGAAGATCGTTAACAAGGTTAAAGGAGGAGGAAAGAAGAAACGTAAGAAATCAGTGTGTAAGTACCCGTGTGGTGTGTGCAGGAAAGAATGCTCTTGGAATGTAGTTGGGTGTGATGGATGTGACACCTAGTATCATGCGGATTGCATTCAAGTAGAAGATTTGGATGAACTACCGGATGAATGGATATGCAATACCTGCAAGGACGAACTAGACAACATGTAGATAAAGAATAGAATGACAACAAAATGCTGTTAAAAATAAAGCAATGCTTGTATTACTTTAGTATCGGCCTATGTAGTTGACCGTAATGCTGGAACAATAAAAAATCTTAAAATCAATATAAAGACAGCCGATTTAGAGCAAAAGATAATTGAAGGCATAAAAATTTAATCCAAATAGTAGGAGGATAAGGGGGAAAAGATGACGCATGTTTGTTATCCTACATTGATTTTCTGTATGAAAAACATCATACATGATAAAAAACCTTGTTTATCCTAAACCAATCTTTTGATGTTGCTTGAATGACCTAACAATATTAAAAAAAAAGGCAGACAATACTAACAACGAAAATCAAAGGCTTGTATAGAAATAACGCCAACAAAATACATGTACTAAATATAGTTCTCCATGATGGTATATTTTTTACCGGTACATGTCGTGCTATTCTACGACGGGTGTCACACGTGGAGCAGGATCTGATTACCCTTCCAGAGCACCTGAGATTACCTCGTTTTTTTTGTGGGATTTGTATTGCTCATTTTTTTTTTTTTTTTTTTTTGTGATGTGTATTGCTGTATGCCTTTCCGTCGTTTTTTTCATTTCTTGCCATGGCTTGATGTAAACAATATTTTATTATGAATAATACAAGTATATTTTATCAACACATTCACAATTAGAATTCAGAAACATGCATCAAGTGCTTATATAAATCTGTCTCTGTCATGGCTTTGTCAGTTTCTTTCCCACATTTGAGTTTGATGGTCCCTTTTGGTATATTTTGCCTCTCTTCTAGTCAAGTAAGCAAATATGCAGGAATTATCCAACATCTATTAATTGATCCAACTATTTTTTACCCAATAATCTCACATCATAAGATAAGGGTCATATAAAACAACATTCAGATTTTGTTATTTACTTTTTTCATCATTATGGGCAAGACTAACATAAATAATTTGTTTATCTTACCAGGAACCAAATAAGTTTTTACTCATATTCTGTATTGTCAGTGGCTATGCACATTTATATTTCCCTCCAAATTCACTCCATTAGGTACACACTGTGTATCGTCGTCATAATGTGGTAAAATCCCGAGAGTTCCGAAAATATATTTTCCGGTAGGTGTCGCTTTAGTACTTTCATTTTCAAATGTAGGGCGTCGATTCATTCTATTCCAGAAATGTAAAGTTTGTTTTAAGGATTACAATGGTTATAGAGGTTACTTAAGGATAAACATGTATGTCATTGAAATGATAATTCAAGTGGGAACAGATTTATTCAGGTCACAAAGTAAGTGAAAGTCTTAGAAAAATTTTGAAACGATAATTTGAAGCATTGTCGCAAATGAGCTTCCTCCCTTGTGGTTTTTTCGGGGTTAAGGGCAATTACGTCGTACAATAAATACGGTGATGTAAGAAATCGGTCCAGTGCGATTTGTTCCGGATAATTATGAAAACATATAGTAAACATTGAATGTGAAACAGAATAGTTGTGTTATAATCCCAATCACTATAAAAACAAACAAATATGTCAACAAAGAAAAACAAAAAGGCATATAGACAAAGCGCATTAGCAAAAACGAAAGACAAGAATACAAAAATTTACCACAGCACAATAAAACAATGACATGATGTACAAGTACCCAGCCACGTCAAATGGACACTACCAAAAATAGACTAAACAGTAAAAGTAATAATTTAGAAAGACAAATAAAAGAATACTATAACACGTTATTAAGATTATAAACAACGCCAGTACCTAGAATTTATACTTCAAGACCATCGTGTATTATTTGTGAAGTTGATACGGAATATTTATCAACAATGTCTTGGTATCTTCAGATGAACATTTTTAGAAAAAGGACGGGACGTTCTTTGACATACCCCTGGTTCATCAACTTTCTGCTCAGACACTGGTGACGTTTTACAAAGTCTGAGTAGCAGCTGCAAGCTCTTAAATACCGAATGAGTTGGGAAATGTATATCCCATATGCAGGTGAAGTTGGCTACTAAAAAATGAAAACAACAAATTATATAAATGTCATGCGTCCGAAGCGCTTTTCTGGATTTACCTTCATCAGGAACGCTCAAAGCCAAGTATTTGAAAGCCAAGGATTTATATGAACCGAAACAATTGAAGAGCTATATGACCAAAAAAAAAACAAATAAAATAGCCAAATCCATCTAAGGCCAACTTTGCCTGAGGGAGTTGAAACCTTTTTTTCTTTATAATTTCAAAATTTATAAACGGACAATTTTAGAAAGGATTGTTATAAATCATGTCAGGACCGAAGTACTGACTACTGAGCTGATGATACCCTCGGGGACTGATAGTCCACCAGCAGAGGTATCGACCCAGTGATGTAAAAAAAATGAAAACAACACGTTATATAAATTTCATGCGTCCGAAGCGCTTTTCTGGATTTACCTTCATCAGGAACGCTCAAAGCCAAATATTTGATAGCCAAGGATTTATAAGAACCAAAACAATTGAAGAGCTATATGACCAAAAACTAACCTAATAAAATAGCCAAATCCATCTAAGGCCAACTTTGCCTGAGGGAGTTGAAACCTTATTTTCTTTATAATTTCAAAATTTATAAACGGACAATTTTAGAAAGGATTGTTATAAATTATGTCAGTAAGGTAGGGGAAATTGACAATTTCAAAATTAAAAACGTCTCGTTTGTCATAGATTCTGGTACTGAGATGACCGCTTATGTCAATTAGAGGTATAAGTCTAAAAATGAGACAGAGGAAGCCGTGTCTGTTGTTTCTTTAATTTCTAGTTCTGGAGGATATATTAATGGAACCCAATCAAAAAAAGTTTGGATTGTTATTGGAAAGAACATCATCAATATATCTGAATGTGAAATTAAATGATCTGGCTTCTTTGATCTTCTTGTTTTTGACAAGTGTTTGAAGGAACTTCGACTCATATGAAAATAAGAAGAGGTCGGCTAGGAGAGGCGCACAGTTCGTTCCCATAGGAATGCCGACAATTTGTTGAAAAAGTCTACCTCCATATTCAACAAATATGTTGTCAATAAGAATCTCCAGCATACTGATCACTTGTTCCTCTGTGTAGCATGTTTTACTTTTTTGTTCACTATTAACAAAATATGCCGTTTGGTATCCCAAAGAAATAAGTTTATAGCGTATGCTACCATTTTTATGTTGAAAAGCATTTTATATTATTTCTTTTAGACGATTTTTCAATTTCACATGGGGAATGGTGGTATACAGGGTTGAAAAATCAAAAGTTTTGATAGAACTTATTTCAGAGAAAGATCTTGATTTAAAATTATCAAGAAGTTCTTTAAAGTTTTTTAGAATCTACATGTGGTTAATACCACTACGCGAGTAAACAGTTTCACAGTATTTCTGAAGACCCTCTTTCACTGTGGACAGAATCTTTGTCAATCTAATGGACAATTCTTCCGTTGAACATGCAGATGAGCCGGCAATGTACCGTTGTTTGTACGGAATTTTGTGAAGCTTGGGGATCCAATACAAACAAGGCAAGTCCTCCGATTTGCTGTTCAATGTTATGTTCATTGAAGCCATGAAGGACTTATGATTCGCCAAAATATCATCTTTGTCAAATGATACAGTATGTTTTTGTATATGGAATTACCTGAGGGCTCATGTATTCTTAATTTTTTTACAAGACACTCGTAGTAGTACGATTTATATAGTTTTGCTTGTCTTCTACCATATATATTCAGGACTATTATTCAGTTTTCATCAGCGTAAATTGAATGCACAGCCATTATGTAAGGGAAGATAACACAATGAAGAACTGTTATATTAAAATGACGTGGTGTTATGGTTAACTACACATAAAGACAAATAGTCCTACCAAGAAATGGTGTCAATGAATTCATTAGTTGTCATCGTGTTTAAATATCAGAAATTGCAAAATATTCTGTAACTTTTAGCAAGAATAACCTAATCAAAATGACTGTGTAGTTCATTCAACTATACATGATGACAAAAAATCCTACCAAGTATTGATTCAGTCAACCGTCTTAATGATGTTATGATTACAGGATGGCATTGTATTGTAATTGTAAATTATAGCCAAAGTATAGCAGACGTCTTTTCAAATAAAGATGAACGTGTAGTATGGCTAAGAGAATACGATGACATTTATTCCTAATACGTATGAAATGATTCTCTAAGTATAAGTGTGCTATCTTATATTCCTTATGATTGACAGTAACATAAATATCAGTTGTCCAAATTGTTTTTACAGAGGGACATGTAGGGTAAGTGTCAATCAGAGCAACATAACAACAGAAATAACCAAAAAACATTTAGGGCCAACATATAGTCCAACAAAAGACTGGTGTCTGTATCGTGTGCCATGCTCTGAATTGTCCGGATTCATATAAGGCTACTGTGAATGCAGAATTTATTGCACTGTTTTGTTATTTTTATTGCGAAGAATGTGACAAGATGATGTTGCAAAAAATATGTATGCAAAAAAAAAGTATATAACATTGTGAAAGCCTTATTTGTACATTGTATGCAGCATTTCAACCTCTGACGGGTTTTTCATCTGTTTATCAAAGAAAGGTGGAATTCTTTTCAATATGTGCTCAAGTGTTAAAAATAGGGGCATATTGCAAATGTAAGCATTCATTTTTACCACAACCGCCTATAGGTTTAACACCTTATAGTTTTGTCACAAATTACTAGTTCAAATTATGGCAAGTTTTGCACAGTATATAAATTCATTGAGCACCCTCTCTAAGTTTACTGTTAAGGTTCTATGCATTAACGGAGACCAATTCATTGTTATGCACTTTCTATAGACTTATAAACTAACATTCCACATGTACATATGAACTGAAAGGTAAGATCATTAGACGACAGAAGCTTTATGCAGGATACATGTTTAAAAATTGCCTTTTTTAAATTCAACACTTGTTTTGACCATGCTACTACATACTATATAGTTTTTTTTAAATCTGTAGTTTCTTTTACATATTGTCAACCAAGCCTTTTGAGTCTAGGCTTAAAAACATATTCAAAGATGACACTCAAATGACACAAGACTTGACTATTGTGTGAGGTATAGTCATCAATTTGATTCCATCATCTTCAGTAAACTTCTCACATTTTGTAAAATCTTCTTCTGAAAAAACAGAATTTACCAATTGAAGCCAAACTTTGCAGGAATCTTTATTTGAAGATACTTCACAATGTTTAAATTAAAATTGAATGTTGGGGCCAAATATTGATTTAGCCAGAAATTGCAAAAACAAATATGAGGAATCGCTTGGTATTATTAATTGGGATATTGAGGTTTTTGTGCCAATCCAAATCTAAAATAGTTGGCACCAAGGATCGAAGATTAACATAGAATTCTTTGAAAAATAGATACACACAGTTTTCTCCGAAATCATCTCAATCATTAAAAAAAATATTGCACTAAAGATACTAGGATGATCTTATACATATAAGTATTATCATAATTTATAAGTTTCCGTTTTGTCAAACCAAATAAATATTAATGACCACCATAGTGCAACATTATAAATAATATGCAAAAAACAAACAAACAACTAATAAAAAACAGTCTCAAACATTAAAACCAGATGATACATAAATGCACAAAGGTGCCTCCTCCAATTGTTAGCTTTTAATAAAATCAAAGGTGGTACCACTGGGGAAAACATTTAACGAATAATGGTTATATTTGTATTGCATACAAATAGCTTCTTCTTTAAAACAATCTCAAACATTTAACAAAATCTTGAATAAATGATACAACGTTGATCATAATTATACTAATTTTGAGCATTTGGTGCCAATATGAAATCCAAAATGATTGTCACCAATGGAAACAATTTAACATAGACCCCAATAAAAAAGACATTCAAATCATGAACAAATGCTACTAGGATGGCGAATGCTATGCTAAACATACATAATAGATAAGCCAACAAGATCAATAAAAAATATCTATAAAGTAGCAAAAGATACCAAATGGACATTTTTTTTATATAGAATCGACCGTTTGTTTTCCTGTTTGAATGGTTTTACACTAGTCATTAGTGGGGCCCTTTATAGCTTGCTATTCGGTGTGAGCCAAGGATCCGTGTTGAAAGGCCGTACTTTGACATATAATGGTTTACTTTTACAAATTGTGACTTGGATGGAGAGTTCTCTCATTGGCACTCATATCACATGTTCTTATATCTATTCAAACTCATAAGTAAAAAATAAACTGACAACACCATGGCTAAAAAAGAAAATGACCAACAGACAAACAGACAAACAACAGTACACACAACACAACAAAGAAAACTAAAGAATAAGCAACACGAACCCCAACAGAAACTGGGGGTGATCTCCGGTGCTCCGAAAGGGTAAACATATCCTGCTCCACAGGTGGCACCCGTCTTGCTGCTCATGTTAGTTCAAACCCGGTAATAAGTCAAATTCGGTAAGTCACATTCGGGGAAAAAAAGAAAAAAAATATATATATTGATACCTCAATAATATTATTATTTGTATATCATGCATATTGTGCAAACTCCAGTATGAAAGTAACAAAGTACCATGAAACAAACCAAACTATTACTATCCACACTGAACTGTGTCCACACTTGTTCATATAAAAAAAAACATTCAGGGTTATTTTATTCAAAGAGAGCGTAAATAAAGGCAACAGTAGTATACCGCTGTTCGAAACTCATAAATCGATAGAGATAAAAACAAATCCGGGTTACAAACTAAAATGTCTTTTCTTAAAACAAAAACTAAACAATATTTCGCTTGAAATTTATCTGTTAAACATATAAAGATATAATCATTTTTTCTTATCTCTTTTGAAGATTACTTTCTCCAGTCCCATCATTGGTGATTCAAATGCAAGTGATACTATAAAAGCAGCAGCATATGAGAGTCCAAGGTTTCCAAGGAAGTCATAAATCTGAAATACATAAACTAAATATCATACCAATTAATATGTAAATAGAATGCCGCTCATTTTAGATAAAGTAATATCTTGCCGCTCATTTTAGATAAAGTAATATATTCAGTAGTTGTCGTTTGTTGATGTGGTTCATAAGTGTTTCTCGTTTCTCTTTTTTTATATAGATTAGACCGTTGGTTTTCCCGTTTGAATGGTTTTACACTAGTAATTTTTGGGCCCTTTATACATGTTATAGCTTACTGTTCGGTGTGAGCCAAGGCTCCGTGTTGAAGACCGTACTGTGACCTATAATGGTTTACTTTTATAAATTTTGACTTGGATGGAGAGTTGTCTCATTGGCACTCATACCACATCTTCTTATATCTATATAATATAATTACTTTGTTTTTAGCCTCTGAATGTAACACAATCAACTAACAAAAAAGTCATTCCTTTCGACGTTCTACATATCTTAAAGTGACGGATTCAGTAATTAATAAAGAAATTAGGATATATGATCCCACCTCAGGATAATTAGATTCAATCCTTATTTATAATATTGACAACTACATTTAAAAAAAAATGTCCAATGACTTTGAAAGATAAAGGTTTACATAGGGTCTTGGATATCATTTAAAATTCAAAAAAGGAATTATAACAATACATCACTATTCAAATATAACTGATATTATATTATTTAAATACTAGTACATATGATATTTTGACTTCCGTACTACAAACCTGGAATGGAAAAAAAAGTAATCTTGACCAATTTTTACGTATGTTTTAATTTGGAAATTGTGCTTTATGCTCACACCAAATATAATCATTTTGAGAATATGTATCTCACCTTCATTCATACACATGTATAATGCATTGTAAACCAAAAATGTGAGTTTTTTTTCGGGAAGTGTGGTAAAATTTGGAATAAATGAATACTTTTACTGATGACATTCAATATCTGTTTGATATCTTTCAAAAATATACTTGTGTGCCACACTTACAATTTGATGATCATCCACATATATCATTTGTTTCCGTGTATACACATAATATTGTATTACTACTGGATGAATCAGGTAAGCAGAGTAAGTCAGTCTACTCAATGGCACAAACCCTTTCCATGACAAAGTTGTGTTGATAAATCCTATTATAAATATTGTTAATTATTGAAGAGTTATCTTACTAATATTAAGTTTATTCTTTAGAATTTGAAAATAAAAATTAGGCTAATCAAATAATTGTCAATCATCAGTTCAAGATTCTCCATTCGTTCTGGTATCGATAGAGTGCATGGTATCATGTCAGTAGCCGAGTTCAACCTAACACTTTAAAATTGGTTTTCGCTCATTCTCTTTCATAGCTCATAGTCATATGTGACTTTATGTATGTAATTTTGACCAGCTAAATTTTTACAACAATCACTTAATTATTGTATCAATTCCGAGTCAGATAGCATAACGATTAAGATTACATATTTTATATTATCAGTACTTTGACATTGCTTTGAGAATTTGCGAACAATACTTGATAATTGATTGTTTTTATTGCTAAGACTGTGATTGTTTTTATTTGCTAAGACTATGCTTGTGTATATTTTTGTTATCTATTAGATCATTATTACAGTGTTAAAATCTTTTACTGTAATAATTTTTATTGTAAGTACATGTATGATAGTTCTTCGACTGAGATTGAAAAGTGAGAGAGTTGAGGCGAAAACAAATACTTGTTTGACCCTCTACATATCCAGGTGACTGTTTAAAGTGATCGAGGAACCTCGCCTATGTCATATTTTAATTTTGTTGGTTATTTGGAGAATATTTAATCTATTCACCACTCTATTAGACTAAGGAAAATTTAAATTTCGGTAAATTGTTTGAACACCTTCTTTTGCTGAAGACTGTCGTTTAGTTATTTGTGTCGATGTGTTTCTTCCTCATTGATATATATCCTTTATCACATTTTATTCATAAGATAAAACAGATTTCACATAGATTAATATTTGAACAGATTCCTCCATAACCCATATAATTCACTCCGATATAAGAGACTATTTAAACATGTTAAATTCATCTCAGTATAATCAAAATGCCCTTAATTTACTATAGCTTTGAATGCTTCTGCTACTGGTGGAAACTTCAAGGGTTGACTTTGGTATGAACATATGATCATCCCTGCACTTCTCCCGTCTGGTGGTATAAGCCATTATAAAGTTGGGTGTCCGTTTGGTTTTGCAGGGTGTTATAACGATGCAGCCACGCAATATCTGATCCTATCCACTATACATAAGATCATTCTCCCGTTGAAGTTCAAATTTTTTATCCTTTATCCTGGTTGAACCACCTTACCGAGCCTACCTTTTGTAATAGTTGTTAAGTTTTTCTCATCCGTTAATGTATGAAATATTTGCCACTGGACGTCAATCAAACAAAAAATGAATCAATCAATCAATTACGGGTGGATGGTTTTTCCCAAGGTGTATGTATCGTTCGTTTCGTCCTTTAATTGTCATAACTTAATACATATATTTGATACAGTTTAAGCAGTAACAAATGAGACGTTGGATTTTATTTTATACAAAATAAGATTGCACTCCTTATGCATGTTATGTAATTTGCCTTCACATATCTGCTGTTCATACACCTCATCATATTTTATATTAAAATAAGGAGATTTGGTATGATTGCCAATGAGACAACTATCCACCAAAGTTCAATTGAAGTGGATGTAAGCAATTATTGGCAACCATAAGGCCTTCAATAATGAGAAAAGCCCATACCGTATGGTCGGCTATAAAAGGATAATATGAAACAATTCAATTGAGAAAACTAACGGCCTAATTTATAACAAAACAGTTTACGAAAAAAAATATGACAAACATGAACCAACGACAACCACTGAACTACAGGCTCCTGACTTGGGACAGGCACATAAAGAATGTGGCGGGGTTAAACATGTTTGTGAGCTCTCAACCTTCCCCTAACCTGGGATAGTGGTGTAACTGTACAACATAAGAACAAACTATAAAAATCAGTTGAAAAAGGCTTAACTCATCAGATGGATACAAATAGAAATATATCTAACAAAACACAAAGTAGACGTGGCTGGGTACTTATACATCCCAAAAACAAAAAGACACTAAGTACAGATCTAGATCTGAGAGTACTCGCAGTTTCTGTCAGCTAGTTCAAACCCAATAACAACTTATGAAAAAAATCATGTATCTAAGACTAAAACATTAATCGGTACACATCCAACATCCAATGGATTTAGTGTAAAGACGCCATTAACAGTCAGAGAAAAAACATGACCTTGTGCAATGCCTAACTAAAAGTATCGACAGATTGTAGTACCGTGAAGATGCATATGTGTAATATGTAGTATGGTTTTAATTTATTAATAACATGTTTTGTTTAATATATATATTGTTTATAATATATAAGATATCTGATATAATACATAAGATATCTCATATAATATAAAAGATATCTTATAAACTATATAAAATATCTAATAAACTTTATAAGATATGTTATAAACTATGTGAGATATCTTATAAAGTTTATTAGATATCCTATATATTTAGTATGCTATACATTGAAAATTTTGATAAAATTTCGGATTAAATTCTAAAATGTTCTTTATGTTACCTCCGTTTCCTGTAGCGCAGGCAAATATAACCCAACAAACAGCGGCACCCCAACCAGTTTTATGTACAGCATTATATAAAGAAGCCACCTCTGTTGAAAATGGTTTTCCATTGTAGTTGTCATATACTCCATATAATACTGAACAGGCCACTGCAGTGAAAACTCCCCATAAAAGTAGGTTAACAAACTGTAATAGAAGATATCTATATTTAATTAACTAATTCGGTAATTGATTTTATTTTGGATTTTAAAACAAACATGCATCTTTATTTTATTTACCTTTAATGCTGGTGGTTATGCATCATATATTATTTAATGTAATCAGGGAGTTTTTTTTCAAATGTCCAATGATGAAATACATATTGTTTAACATTTATAACATACAATTCATATATGCGTTCATGACAGCAATACGCTGTTGTTATTTTCCCGCTGAGTATATGGTATTTTAATTTGTTCATTGAAAAATTATAAAGAAACGTGGACGGAGATCTCCTTTCTCAGATCAAGAGAACTTTATCACAGGAAACTTTAAATGCAATTGTATGATGATGAAGGCATGTATAAACAAGATACCTTATTTATTTTGAATGTACACTTAATTTTATACAAGATATAACCAGTGTATATTCCGACCAGGTATGGACCCATCCTAGTATATGGTTTAATATAGTAGTTGTTAAAGTAGTCCATTGCATTCTTGCTGAAATAAACAGAACAAGTTTCAATTAACAAATATGGTAATTGATTGTGGGCACTGAAAATTATAGTGGCCTCTCTAGATTTCAAATGATTGGTATACATTTTTACTGGTAAACTTTTACATAGTGTTGCAATTTATGTGCATGGATTTTCATTTACATGAAAACATGTATATATATTTTCAATTGTCATTTCTATTAAAATATAGATATTGACTTTTAAATTAGTCAAACAAAATGAATATTTAAGGGGTAGGTAACTCACGATTCTTTTTATTCACTAGAAAATTTATAGCAAACTATCTCATAAAAAAATTCTAAAATCTAGTTTCTTTCAGTTTGCACAATTGTGTATTTGTTTCTCCTATGTTATATTCAAAAGAATTTTGCAGTACCATGGGTAAAATCGGTGACATGGACATTATCTATATTCTTTAAATATGATATCTATCAAATTTGAAAAACACATAGATGAATATGTTCATTGTTTAAGAAAGTTACTCATGGTATTATTTATTTTTTTATATTCTAGACAATAATTCCATGATGATCATTCACAATCACTGTGCTATATATATAAATATATATAAATACAATAAACTTATTCCACGGATAAGTGAAATATAATAAGCTAAAGACGGATTGTCAAAGCTATTTTGAAGAGAGAAAAAAAAATCCAATACATACATAGAAAACTAAAGACTGAGCAATGAGAACTGGCTATTAAAGTCATGTGCTCCGGAAATGCAACGTCACTTTAGTCAGTCGTCGTGGTATGTAAAATGTAGAAATTTGAGGACAAGTTGTTCTTGCTTAATAGATATAGGCTGTTTTTTGCTCTTTGGTCGGGTTGTTGTCTCTTTGACACATTCCCAATTTCCATTCTCAATTTTATTCGATGGTTGTTTGTATACTCATAGTTTCCTCTTACAATATTGTGCCCCTCAGATATAATATGTTTTAGTGATTGTAGCGATATACATGATATAACAGCTGTACCCACAATTATTGTAAAAATATTTGCTACTTACTCAAAGGTAGATAATCCAAGGTCGTAGTGGGTAGAAATAATCCCTGTAGCTATTGTTGTACCTCCTAGAAACATGGCTGTTACAATAGTACCTGCCACTTTGTTACTGAAATTATATTTAGAATCCTTTATTCAAAGTCAAAACGTTTTGTAAGTGAACTATATACAAAACACACACATACAAACATCATCTGCACTATTGATTTTGTTTTAGATTTATTAAAAAATTAATTCATGCGGTGCAACTGTCGGAAAAAGAGCTAGGCAGATAAGATTTGTCAAAACAAGTTTTCAACAAGTGACATTCAAAACAAATGACCCCTTTTAATAGAAAATCTCTTTCTTTCCATGTAGCATATCATTATGAACCAAATAAAATACTTTTTTTAGCGGAGAAATATATTAACAGAAAATTAAAAATTTTACAATATAAATTGGTCATAATAAACCTGGAGGGATATCTGGTTCTTCGAATGGTAAGGGTTCCTTTATGTTTCAGTGTACCTTGATTTTGTTCCCCACAAAAGTTCAATATATGTTCTTTTTAGTATAAGTTTTTTAACTGAACGAAATACACTTTAAATTAAGTTAGGACAAGTTTAGTAGATTTTCAAAAATATCGATCAACTTTTTACTAATTTGTATACATTACTTACAAATAAAGCGGAAGAAGAAGAATAGGACTGATAACATAAAACTGCATGTCATTGGCTAAATACCAGGCCCACGCAAAGCACTGAAATAAAAACAAAAACATTAAACTGCATGTCATTGACTAAATACCAGGCCCACGCAAAGCACTGAAATAAAAACAAAAACATAAAACTGCATGTCAATGACTAGATACCAGGCCCAATCAAAGCAATGAAATAAAAACAAACAATTGAAGGCATATACTTACTAATTTCTATGTCATTTTTCTCTGGTGGAGAATTGTCAATTATATGACATCTTCTTATTTTTTAATGTTATAATTAAAACAAAATTTTGAAAAATTCAGTATCTGATCAAAGCAATTTTCTAATAATAAATACACACAGTAAAAAGAACGGATAGATTGCAGGCTGTTAGGCAACCAGTGGCAAATAAATGCTGATTCAGGACATTAGCGGGTCAATGCGATATGAATATGAACCCTTCTTTGTACTGCAACGACACGCCATGTCAGATTTTTAAAGTGCTAGTTCACAAAGTAACAGTCCGCAGAAAGACATGTCACCCAACCCGGACAAATTATTCTGACACCGAGCCAACCAGTCTTTCCTATAACTTCTTAATGCCTAGCGGCAAAGCAGCAAATACCAATATCAAAGTATTTTGTTTGACATGGTCGGAGTTCGAACAGTAAAAAGAAAGATATTAGTACAAGGCCTAAGCAAAACACTGAAATAAATATACAAAACTGCATATCATTTGTCTGTTAAGGAGCCCAAGCACAAAAACAGAAATAAATACATATCATTGCAGATACCGGATACTGGTAAAGACAGTCAAACATAAATTATTAATCAAGGTGCAATAAGTACAAACAAAAAAAAACAAAAATATCGATACAAAGCTCATGCGAATCCCTGAAATAACTTCAAATAATTAAAAATACAAGCTGAATATTGAAATAAATATCAATACTCAAATCAACTTAGGCACCAGTAACAAGCCTAACATTCAAATGAATATTAATAACCATAGGCAATACTTCAGTACCAGTCCAAAACAAAACACTGAACTAGATATAAATGCACGAAAGTCAGATAAAGGTACCCAATTAAAACAATAATTTACTACATATTGGAATCAAATCCGAACTCTGATAAAGATAATGACAATCAAAACCAAACTATTGCTAACAGGCACCTTCACCGATTAAAACATCAATTTGCTACATAAAGGTACCAGACTCAAAATAACTAGAATTAAGCATGCTTTGAAAATTTACAGTTTCAGAATTGTTTTTTTTTTGGTAGTAAATATCTTCTATTTTCTTTAACAGAGATGTTATGTAATTTAAAGAAAATAATTTCCATATCCATGACACAAGTTTTTGCAAGAGCGGCGAAAGATGACTCAAATTCATAAGTCGAATATAAACTGACAATGAAAAAAAAATAAAACAAAAGACAACAGACAAACAACAGTACACAAAACAACAAAGAAATACAAAGACTGAACAATTTCTGTAATTACATAACCATGGGAGATTCTTTCTTTGTATTGAATGAAGAAAAAATAAAAAACAAGGAAAACAAAATATTGTAGAAACATAATTTGTGTGTAGAAGAAATCATTAGCATGATTAATAAGTAACTGTCTTATAGGTTGCACTTTGTAAATACAGCTGTTTCTCAAACCACGCCTCTTTTGGGGAGATATAGAATATTCATAGATAATTAATTTTGTTTACATACTGGTTCCCAGTTATGAACTCTATGTTTCATCTCATAGAGACATAACTTAGGAATGTTACCAGTAAATATACATATGCATATTGTCTATATAGAAATCTGTGGTAATCCCATAGTCAAGGTAGGGATAGTTAAGAAATTTAGTGTTAATTTAAACTCTTAGAAGTTCGGGGCATATAAACGTTGAAAATATGCCGCAAAGCCCTATATTTTGACCTTTGAAAAAAATTGTAGTGCATATGAACTTTCCATTCTAGGATATGATTTTTTTTCAAAACTTCATAGTAAAAGTGGTACAGTTTTAGCCGTAAAAGGAGTTCCGATGGGAAATTGCATTGTCAATATTTACATAAATGCAACCTATATTGGGTGAAAAAAGAGAACATACAGAATTCAACCAAGTTTGGTTTATCTCACAGATTTTAAAGAAATTAACTCAAACATGAAGTTTTATAAATATTTCATGAAGATTGAGAAAATCCTGGGCCTTAACTATGATGACTCAGCATAAATTCACAGTTTACAGTATGCATAGTTTACTTAAAGCCCTGAATGCAAATTAAATTCATAGTATATGCATATTTGTAAGTTAAATTGTTTAGAAGTGCTTATATTTACTCTTCGCAGTCATTGAAACTCATAGATCCTTCCTGAATATTATTGGTGGGGTGTTTTTGTCCTGTCGATAAGCCAAAAGTAAGCTGTAATGCCTAAATCTGCTTTTTTGTCACCGCGGCATAAAAAATACAAGCTTAGAATACAAAAATATCTCAACAAAACTTACAATAGTGTGTTCTATCCTGAATATGGCTTTGTTTTAACACTTCTAGCTCATATAATATTAGCTAAATTATGTCAGATATATGGTTAGAGATTATACTGTTGTTAGTACTATGTGACAAGAATTCTAAACTGACCATTTGAGGCAGAAATTGTGAACTTTCATTGACAAATAGGCATACAGTAAAATGTGGACTGGAGACACATGCAGGATTTGATACTTTATATAATCTTGAATGTTGGAATGATTGACTGCTAAACATTACATTTACAGTATTCTGAAATACTTTCAATATGTTATCAGAACAGTTTTAAACAGGTTCTAGGCATTTCATGTCAGAAAACATGCAAATAGGGTAAGCTGGCAATAATTAAAGTCTTGTTTTCAAATTCTTTAAAAAATTGAAACAGGGGAGGGGGTATCAAATGAACAGTAAAAGAAAACTTCGAGTTTATGCAGTGATTTCTTTAAGGCTATAATTCTGATAAATAAGTATTAATGTGAGAAAAAGTGTTTTTAGATAGTTTTCTATTGGAATAAATATTTGTATTAGCTTGTTACCTACATGTATATTCAGATAGATATTGTTAGACATTGATTTAACATAATCAACTTTAAAGGACATGGTCAATCAATAAATATAACCTTTGGCTAATTATTATATTATAAACTATATATTGTTTTTACAACAGTTATGTTTGCATGTTAAACAGGTGTTAAGCCAATTAGAGAGAGAGATAAATATACCCCATGGTACATGATTTTTTTAAATCAATTAATCGTGATTAAAACTAAAGTATATTTTCAAAAAAAAGTCAGGATTTCTAAATCATTTCTATCGGAAAAATAATTTTAATAAGTTGTGATCAAAATAAAAAAAATCATTTCAAAATATTAAAATAAGGGCTCTTTTTGTATCATTTTCAATGAAATACATTAAAATATAAAATTTCAATAGGTAATTAAAACAAAATTTATTATTTTCAAAATATTGAATAAGGCTTTTTATCATTTTAAGCATTAGATTAAACCAGACCTCTAGTCCTAACGATTCCTGAAAGACAAAGTAATATGTGCACTTAAGATTTGTGAAAACAAGTAAAAAAGTAATTGAAGTAATTAATTACATTTGCCAAGTAATTGGAAAGTAGTTAATTACACTGGTAAAAAAAGTCAAATGTAATGTGTAATTTTATTGAAGATTTTGTAATTGTATTTAAATGTAATTAATTTCTTTCAAATGTAATTGACCCCATGTCTGGTGGATTGGGGTGGGGCGGATCTCGGGTGCTCCGGAAGGGTAAGCAGATAATTTCTACCTAGTAGCACGACACTAATAGTTTGACTAGTCAAGCATATAAAATGTCCTCTACAAAGTCGATTTCGAAACACAAGTACTCTTTGATTGCGAGGTTTGACGTTTGTATCAGCGGTTAAAGTAGATAACTATGCCATTCTCACTACTAAACTTTCTAATTATATTTTCCAATTTACTTTTGCAAAAAAAATTAACAATTCCTGAAGGTGTTTTTGAAAGGCACAACGCTATTCTCTATCCAAACGCACATGGTAATAATACTGCTCCGATCGCCTTTAGGAATGTACTCATGGATTTCCTATATTGACTTCTATTTTTGCCAATTTTACAAGATTTGAACATCAGTAAATTACTGTTGCCTAATTTATACATGGATTTTGTGGGGTATAAATAGAACATCGATGTTCGCTCTTCTTATTGAACACGCGGTTTTTACTATATTTGAAATATGGACGATTGGTTGTATGCAAAATCAAATTAAACAAATAAAATTCGGAAACACATACCTGGTCCGTTATAGGCCGAAAGTTTTGTATATAGAGTAGATTGTACCACCATGTATCCTTACAATAATTATTTTCTAATCCATTCTTTTTCCATATAGGACCACTTCCAAGGTACGGAAACAAAGCTATATAGACCATCATAACCAGCATATATGGTGGTGTTAGCCTACAACATTACATCATAAAAACAATACGTGAGGCCTAGGTCAACCAATTCATAATGACATCCGGAAATATTTTTGATAGGATGACTTTGACATAACCTTTTGCAACCTTTTGTTCAATAGCTTACTGATATTCAGCACAGAAATTAACACGTTTCACTCTTTTTCTTTTTTTAAAAAAACTATTGAAAATTAATTTGAAACATTTGAATTTTAAACGCTAAATGAGACTGTCTTGGAAGTATATGGCACAATTTTTCTGAATTCTCAGTTTTTGCTGCTCTTGGTATTTGATTTGGCCTTCCAACTGTTTTGATTCGAGTGCCACTGATGAGTCGTGTGTAGACGAACGAGTGCCACTGATGAGTCGCGTGTAGACGAACGAGTGCCACTGATGAGTCGCGTGTAGACGAACGAGTGCCACTGATGAGTCGCGTGTAGACGAACGAGTGCCACTGATGAGTCGGGTGTAGACGAACGAGTGCCACTGATGAGTCGTGTGTAGACGAACGAGTGCCACTGATGAGTTGCGTGTAGACGAACGAGTGAAACTGATGAGTCGTGTGTAGACGAACGAGTGCCACTGATGAGTCGTGTGTAGACGAAACGCGCGTCTGCATCCATGTAAGGCATGCAAAATTATTATCCTGGTATATTTTATGATTTTTTATCCTCTATCAACGAAATACTTTTATGAAAGGAAGCCCTCGAATATCGAATCAACTGGAAACCATATTTACACCATGGGTTGGTGCCTCTGGAATATTGCAACACAGAAATCGACAGGTAAGTTAAACCTACATGTAAAAGTGTGCAACACCACAAAATGTTAGTAACTTAATAGATAATGAATAAAGAAAACTTTCAATAAATATTTCGAATAGCAAACATCCTTTTATTGTATGAAAAAAATGGAAAGTTCAAAATGGAAAAGTAGAAATCATCTGTTTCGTCATAAAATTTAGTTCTCAGTCGATCCTGGTTATAAATTTTGATAAGAAACAAATCTTACTGGGTTCTTTAGTTTGTATTCGCAATATATACAGACATCGATATTACTGCTGGTTGAAATGCTTATTAATTATGCACATGAGTTGACGACTAAGGACCAGTGTCTTCTTCAATGCCATCTCCATTTCCGGTGAATGAGTCTTTGTCATCCTAATACATCATTAAAATTGAGAATGGAAATGGGGAATGTGTCAAAGAGACAACAACCCGACCACAGAACAGACAACAGCAGAAGGCCACCAACAGGTCTTCAATGCAGCGAGAAATTCCCGCACCCGGAGGCGTCCTTCAGCTGGCCCCTAAACAAATATATATACTAGTTCAGTGATAATGAACGCCATACTAAACTCCAAATTGTACACAAGAAACTAAAATTAAAAATAATACAAGACTAACAAAGGCTAGAGGCTCCTGACTTGGGACAGGCGCAAAAATGCGGCGGGGTTAAACATGTTTATGAGATCTCAACCCTCCCCCTATACCTCTAGCCAATGTAGAAAAGTAAACGCATAACAATACGCACATTAAAATTCACATTAAAATTCAGTTCAAGAGAAGTCCGAGTCTGATGTCAGAAAATAAACAAAATGACAATAATACATAAATAACAACAGACTACTAGCAGTTAACTGACATGCCAGCTCCAGACTTCAATTAAACTGATTGAAAGATTATGTCTTCATCATATGAATATCAGGCACAATCCTTCCCGTTAGGGGTTTAGTATCATACCATCATAACATATATGAGAAGAACATAACCCGTGTCATGCCAACAACTGGTTTTTAAATAAATGTGTTTAGTGCAGATGCAAAGACCCTATAAGTGAATCAATATCAACGCCAAAATATGCAATCTTTAATGACCTGACAACAGTATCGTAACTATATCCCTTCTTAATAAGTCTATTTAAAGGTTTTGTTAGTTTCAGAGGTGAATACTGACATTTTTGTGCTTTATAAAGAATATTTCCATAAAAAATTGGATGTGAAATACCTGAACGTATAAGAAGTCTGCATGTTGAGCTATATTTACGAATGATGTCCTTATACCGATGATAAAATTTAGTAAATGTTTTGACTAGTTTGTGATATCGAAAACCCTGGTGTAATAATTTTTCAGTAATACATACATTTCTCTCGTTAAAATCTAAAACATTGTTACATACACGAGCGAATCGTACAAGTTGAGATATATAAACACCGTAAGATGGTGACATTGTTTGGTTCATTAAGTATCTATCAAATCTGTTTTTAAAAGTGTTAAATATTGGTGAAGTAATTATACTCTCTGGCGACGGTTTCCTTGCTTTGCATTGTCCGTTTTTTTGTTCAAGCTCTTTGATGATAGATTAATATATTGAAAAATCGTGCAGCTGTTCTCACAGTGATGTCCTTGTATTGTCCTTATACAATTAACAGTTTCATATTTATAGTTGTTAAGAGTATTTTTATGCCTTCTGTCCTGTAGTTGTTTTTGGCCTGGCACTGCAGTTTTGAATCATATCCATATGTTTCTGTTTATAGGGATGCAATGACTCGCACACTCAATGTGTGTTCCTGCATATATAATGTCTTATAAAACAGTACATAGGTGTCAATATTTGCAAACAGTTACTTTCAACAGCGAAATTGATTTCCTGTTAATATTTTCTGATGTATTCTACAAAAAAAATCCCACTGAATATACAAATTTCATACAAACTATACCTACCTCCAAAATCTATGAAAATAGAACATAAACCAGTTCAGCTTCCCCTTTTGTTTCTTCAATTGTTTTAGCACGAGATAAGTTAATAAACAGCCACTGTAACAGAAGTATTGAATGGGTATTAAAATAGATCATTAAGGTTATTAAGGTGGATCTTCGGTATTGTTTACTCAGATAGAATTTTCTTATACTTTGCCAAAATGAAGATTTTACTTTGCTTTTCTCAAAAATATATTAAAAAGTATGGGTCACCGCGCTATTTTTCAAACTACAAGACGTGCAAAATTGCCCAAATTTGCGTAGATTGTTCATGAAAAATCACATTTTTGTGAACAAAAAGAAATCTATGAAATAGAATTTGAAATAAAAAAGATAGGTTTTATAATATGCTTTAAGAAAATAAAAATAAAAAGTGGTGTCACCAAACTTGTTTTCTTACTTCAAGTAAATTTTTACAATAAGAGTTATCTCCCCTTAAATGGCAAAGTTAAAAAATTGATTCTAAAAAAACACATATATTTGGTATTTTTTAAAACAATTTATATAATGCAATAAAGCACAACTTTTGTATACAAATAAAAAGTCTTACATAAATTGCGAATCTGTCTCAATATTTGCATATTTAGGCAAAGAACTAGACAGATTGTTTACTGCTTTTATTCAATCCAAGATAGCGGTAAACAGTGAATCTACCTCAAAACTACTAAATAAATACCTAGATGAAAGATGCTACTTTTATCATCATTTGTTTTCCGAGTTGGTATTTCTTGTTGACATTTGTATAGAAATTTCAGGTTCAACCTCCCCTTTGGCGAAGTTAATCTAAGATTTTCTTCGCGACTCTAATTTAAATAGACCTTGTCTGTTGAAAATACAATACGGTATCTCGTTATTCCATAAAGGTAATTTTTTTCGGGGCCGGTTAAATGAGGAGAAAAAACAATCAGAAGAAAAGAAATGTATTATCACTTACATTATAATAACTTGTCATTTCAACTTTATCCCATTTCAATATTCGAATGCAAAAGTGTGAATTTAGACTTGCATTTAACCCAACATTTCTATTTGAAATCAGTATACTTCCTTTCCCCAATTTGTTATCCTTCAAATCTTGAGAGAAATGAGGGGCGAAAGATACCAGAGGGACAGTCAAACTCATAGATCGAAAATAGACTGACAACGCCATGGCCAAAAATAAAAAGACAAACAGACAAATAATAGTACACAAAACACTAGTTTCCATCCTCTTGTTACAAGTCTTGATAGCAAATTTAGAAAGAGCTGCATGTTCTGTCAAAATCATGTATATTGGACAAGTTAAATATTTGGCATTGATACTATTACTGTTACATACCTTAATGAAAAGAATGTATCCACAGACACTTCAGCATTTAAGATGCCCATGAATGATGTCCTACTAATCATCTTTGGGTAAAAGGTAGCTAGGTTTGCTAGAAAAAAGTTTAATGTCAGTATGTATTTGATAACATCAATCATTTACAATCTAAATTAAAGTTATTTGTTTTTAAATAGTTATTTATTCCTTATATTCTTAATTCCTTGGAAGGGCAAAATGTGTCACAAATATATCGCTAGTTTATTTTTTATTCTAATTCTATTTTATCATAAATAGAGAGGTAAATAAGTAGCCAGGATTTTCAGAAGTATAATTCGTGGCAGAAAAGTTGGAAGTTGTTAGCCAGGATTTTCAGAAGTATAATTCGTGGCAGAAAAGTTGAAAGTTGTTAGCCAGGATTTTTCAGAAGTATAATTCGTTGCAGAAAAGTTGGAAGTTGTTAGCCAGGATTTTTCAGAAGTATAATTCGTGGCAGAAAAGTTGAAAGTTGTTAGCCAGGATTTTTCAGAAGTATAATTCGTGGCAGAAAAGTTGAAAGTTGTTAGCCAGGATTTTTCAGACTGAAGTATAATTCGTGGCAGAAAAGTTGGAAGTTGTTAGCCAGGATTTTTCAGAAGTATAATTCGTTGCAGAAAAGTTGGAAGTTGTTAGCCAGGATTTTTCAGAAGTATAATTCGTGGCAGAAAAGTTGGAAGTTGTTAGCCAGGATTTTTCAGAAGTATAATTCGTGGCAGAAAAGTTGGAAGTTGTTAGCCAGGATTTTTCAGAAGTATAATTCGTGGCATAAAAGTTGGAAGTTGTTAGCCAGGATTTTTCAGAAGTATAATTCGTGGCAGGAAAGTTGAAAGTTGTTAGCCAGGATTTTCAGAAGTATAATTCGTGGCAGGAAAGTGGAAAGTTGTTAGCCAGGATTTTCAGAAGTATAATTCGTGGCAGGAAAGTTGAAAGTTGTTAGCCAGGATTTTCAGAAGTATAATTCGTGGCAGAAAATATAACATGATAATTTTTGTTATCTTAATTTAGTTGAAACATTGTTATCATTTGTTGTTAATGACATGTTTTCTACGTCCAGAATTTTAATTTATTGCACTCAACTTAGTCTCCGTTTTAAAGGGGCAATTATTGCGCGTCACTGCATAAGACAATGTTTGCATTTACATATTTTTTGTGAGTTTTAAAAGGTTTTAATCATAGAAATTAGTATACCTCATGCTAGATAGGTTGATTTAGGAGACCTTTATATAGACTAATCGGAACTCCATCATATTAGTTTTGTTTTCATCGTTTAGCATCTGTTAGTAAGCTTTGATAAATTTATTTGAATAGGCACTACCAACAAAATGGTATATGGTGAACACATAAACTGTTTAGGCTAAAAGTTTTCATTGTTTTAAATTGAAGGATTGTTTTGTTTTGTTTTGTTTTGTATTGTCTGGTCTTCTTTTTTGTTTTGATTGTCATGGTTCTTTTTTATTTTTAGTCTTTTTTATCTTTCATATTATCCATATCTATAACACAAAAACAAGTTAAAATAGCTAAACATAATGAAGTCCATTCGCTGTAAAGTAGTAATCATCAAATACCATGATAGTTGTATAAGATACATGACAACTACCGGTTTCAGTGAAATACTCTCCAATAAAACACACGAACCTGTGAACATTTGAAATCAATTTTGCAAATATATACCTGGTCTACTTACATGTATTAGGAGCGCCGAATCCAATGGAATGTCCGAGAATTACCCAAGTCATACTGATGAAGCGAATACCATTGACTGCTGTCAATGTTCCAGCGCCTTGGTGTGTATTTAAGATCTTTGCTCCATTTGTATAAACAGAGAAAGAAAGTAAGAGTTTACCAAGGACACCTGTAAGAAAAGAAATCTTAATCGACATCTCGGAAAGGATTTTGTTCTAACCGTTGGTAGGGGAGATCATAAACTCTAAATGGGGTGTAATCTGCAATACTTTCAAAGCATTAGTATGTCTTCTTTTAAAAGCTGTAACTTCTCTTATCTGTATTATTTCACATTTTTTCTCTTTCGGTCTGTGTGTAGTTATTTATTTCGTGTATAACTTTCCATCCAAGGTATGTACCGTGTGGTTGTCTAAACTTTTGCATTGTTAATGTTTTTACAATGAAATTCTTATGACAAAAATGACAGTATTTGTGAAATTTCTTTGCTCTTTTACATCTTAAATTTGTAGGTATTGGCTCGCATTTGTATGCTTCAATGCAGGACTATCGACATCGAGGGGAAAAAATCCGGTCAAATCAGTATTTTGACACAACTTTAATTTGCATACAGGCGTACGTCTGTGTGTATCTTTACTTTTTAGTTTTATCTAGCGCAAGAATAAACCATTGTTTTCAAAGCATGCAATGTGAAAAGTAACACGATGGCTTTAAACACGTTAACATGAAGCCCACGAAGTTAAATTGAGTTAATATTTATATGTATTACTTTGTGAAATGCTAAATAAGCAACTTGAAAAGGTTAACTGAATTAAAAAAATTACATCATATGAATCAATATGCCTAATATGCAATGAGTTCATGTTACCTGATGAAAATGCTAGAACACATGCTACATATTTGTATGCCTGTTCACGAAACCTTGTACCATCTGTTGTACTAAATGATGAGGAGGTTTGTAATAACATTAACCCTACCAATTTCACTGCACTAGATGAGTATTTTGACAAAGTACGTCTCTTAAGTTATGCTCGAGGCTAAAATATTTGTAATTTACCTACTGTCAAATAGGCTTTTCAACAGAATGAAAATATGAACAGTCAATGTTAGTTTTTTGTGTAATTCGAAACGATGTAACTAACATTTTACATACCAGGTCTATATTCTTCTTTTTCATTAACAATACCATTTTCTGATGGCTTATACATTTCTTCATACTTAGATGAACGCTTTTCAGTATCCTCACTTTTGCTGATATTAATATCAGGGCTCTTGTGATCATCATTCACAAATACTCCATTTAATTTTCCATTTTGTTGTGTTCCTCCATTTTTGAAGATTTCCATGGGCTGTTTTTTGCTAGATTTTGGTCTTTGCACGATAATCACGTCATAAGCAGTTGCAATTGCCATGGTGGCAATAAAGACCCCTATTACAGCACTGTTAGTCAAAATAAAATACTTATGATTATATATGTTATTTAACATGTTTAATCTCTAGAAACTATCCCTAGTGGGATGATTTTTACAAGGTTAATAAATCCTGAAAACAGAAATATGTACTATCAAAGGTTGAATAGTTTCAAATAAGCAATGTTGTTTCCCAAAAAGTAATTATATAAAGATTTACTCACAAGGGATTTCCTTAAAGTAGCACTAACAAATTAACAAATAACCCATAAGCAGCGGTCAATTGTGTTTTTGTTTGTAGGCAATCTAGTTTGTTTAACAGTGCAGAGCCAGTCAAATGGGATATCCAACATTAACGGCAGCAACACCTGAACTGTAGAACTGTAATTCCTACCCCCAACGAATAACAAAAATAATGGATATTAGCTTAAAAAAATGTAGAAAATCAAGGAAGATAACTTTCATCTTAATACTGTAAATAACTTATTGACATGTGATATTATATGAATCACACTGAATGCTATTTCGTTTCTTGTACGTTTCAAATTTTGAAATATCTCATTTATAGTGTGTTTCTGATGTATTTAACTCATTATTTTTATCATATTGTAATTGAATATGTTGAGTTCAAAATGATGACTCGATGTGATATCCTTAGTTGTGAAATGTCATTTGTAGATTTGACGGCAATGCGTTGCTACCAAAACAAACTTGCCTCAAAATGCAGAAAACAAATACTCTGCAATTGAATAGAAAAAAAACACAGACCATTCAAATTCAAAGAACTTTTTTGAAAATATCAAACTTAACTTGAAAAATGCTATGGCACACTTTCAGATGGTCATGGTTCAAATAAACTGATCATAGATACCAGGATTAAAATTGTGTACGCCAGACGCACGTTTTATCTACAAAAGACTTATCATCAGTAACTCTCGAATCAAGTACGAAGTTGAAGTACATTGAGGACCGAAAATTCCGAAAGGATATATATATTATACTTTAATGGGAAATGAGGACAGAGGGTTAGTGCATGGGTTACAATCTTTTTTGCTGAACATAAAAATCGTCATACCATACGAATCCTAACATATTTGACTCATGATTGTGTACAACATTAATCTTTTATACTTTGTTTTCACTTTTTATATAGGTTTGTTTGGATGTAAACTTTGTATTTTAGCCCTATAAATTACGTCTATTACTCACAGAACTATCTTGGCTCTCATATCATAGGAATCTAATGTTTCCACACAGGTAGCAGATATAACAAACACAGTTTTGTTTGAAACTGTTTGTAGCGCTGTAAAATATTGTGACATTATTTAAAGAGGGGCGAAAGGGTAACTATTTTTGGGATGTTGGGATTGTGTCTTTATTTTCGCTGGACTTTCGGATTAAGACCTTTCGGGACTCGGAATGACACCCTTCCTACCGCCCCCATTCGTTAGTGATAATCTTTTAGATACGTTATATAACTACATCAGTTTTTACCTTTACATTTTTAAATTCATAGTTTTGACACATGGATTAAACACTAAGTTGTTAAAGAATGGAATAAACATGTATGAAGTGTATGGAAAATTGAAAAAAACAAAATAAAAAATTGGTAAAATGTAAAATAAAAAAAATACTGAACTTCAAGGGAAATTCAAAACAGAAAGTCCTTTATAAAATGGCAAAATCAACAACTCAAACACATCTAACGAATGGAAAACTACTGTCATATTCCTGACTTGGTACAGGCATTTCCTTTAATATGTAGAAAATGCATTTTATAGTAACGAAAATATGATAATGTCTGATGCATAGTTGACGTAGAACATATACAATTTGATGGAAATTAAGGTCCAATATTCTACCGTTATGTCTGATACATGGACCTTAATTTCAATCAAATTGTATATGTACTACGTCAACCATGTATCAGACATAACGGTAGAATATTGGACCTTAATTTCCATCAAATTGCATATGTACTACGTCAAACATGTATCAGACATAACGGTAGACCATTGGACCTTAATTTCCATCAAATTGCATATGTACTACGTCAACCATGTATCAGGCATAACGGTAGACCATTGGACCTTAATTTCCATCAAATTGCATATGTACTACGTCAACCATGTATCAGACATAACGGTAGACCATTGGACCTTAATTTCCATCAAATTGCATATGTACTACGTCAACCATGTATCAGACATAACGGTAGACCATTGGACCTTAACCTCCATCAAATTGCATATGTACTACGTCAACCATGTATCAGACATAACGGTAGACCATTGGACCTTAATTTCGATCAAATGGCTTATGTACTACGTCAACCATGTATCAGACATAACGGTAAAATATTGGACCTTAATTTCCATCAAATTGTATATGTTCTACGTCAACCATATACGTTATGTCTGATACATGGTTGACGTAGTACATACGCAATTTGGAGGAAATTAAGGTCCAATGTTCTACAGTTATGTCTGATACAAGGTTGACGTAGTACATATACAATTTGATGGAAATTAAGGTCCAATGGTCTACCGTTATGTCTGATACATGGTTGACGTAGTACATATGCAATTTGGAGGAAATTAAGGTCCAATGATCTACAGTTATGTCTGATACAAGGTTGACGTAGTACAAATACAATTTGATGGAAATTAAGGTCCAATGGTCTACCGTTATGTCTGATACATGGTTGACGTAGTACATAATAGTATACAATTTGATGGAAATTAAGGCCCAATTGTCTACCGTTAAACCTCCCCTTGTAAAGACGTTTTTACAACTTTTTTTAGAAATTCATATTCACTGTTTTCACTTTTTAGGATTTTGAGAGTTGCTGATTGATAATGTGATATGATTAATCTTATCAACTGTTTCGTTTTTGTTCAAAAATCTTAATTCTATCAATAGATAAACAAAGGGAGAGATTTGTGCGCACGTTAAGCTGTACAAAAGTTGCCTGTTACAAAGACACATGCTTAATTATGTTTACAAATTGTTATTTTGATACTAAAATAATTGCTGGTTGAGAACAAACTTTATGACAATAATTCCCAATTGTGAACTTTTCATTTATATATAATTACATTGCAGCAACGCCTTCACATGGAGATTATATCTCTAAGCTGATACGATTTTCGAGAGCATCGAGTGTTACGGCTTACAAGGAGGCTTTTAAACCAAAATGTGTCAAATGTTGAAGTTGATATCGTCACTTCGAAAATTTTACGGACGCAAGCACGAGTTAGTTGACCGCTATTGAATATCTGTTTCCCAGATGACGACGGATTTGTACCAATTGTCGTAACCACAATGACGTCCTCTTTACCTCGAATGTGACCTACCGAATTTGCCTTATAACTGGATTTATACTAACTTAAGCAATCCGACAATAAAATGTCAACGACTACCTTTATTTCTAAAGGGAAACAATTGAATGGATTTTTTTTAAAAAGATCTATCATTTCAGAAGTTGGTGAGTCTCCTAATGATTAGGGGAAAAAAAACTTACCATCCTATACTGGTACTGTTAATGTTATCAAAGAGGTCAAAAACATTTATCAACCGACTATTTGTCTACCAGACAAAGCAGTATATAACACTGTGTATTACTTAAAAACATATCAAATTATTTCAACATACTTTGATTTAATAGATTCTTTGTATCTGTACCGCTACAACTGTCTGGAAGACACATCCCGATATCAATTCCAGCAGGCAGTTGAGTAAGCTAATAAAATATGGATAAGTTATTGTTTTGATTCATGTTTAATTAGCTCGTAAGTTGAATGAATGATCTAATTAAGAATTGAGTGGATTTTTTGGTTATTTTATAGGGGTGTAAAAACGTTGACCGAAGCATATTTGTGCGCACGATAAAAGTTTTTACTCTATAAAATTAAAAAAAAAACCATTACTGTTGTGACGCTGTCATGGGAAGCATGTGTAGTCATGAAAGGATAATATAATCTAATTTCGAATCCCTTGCGATTGCTGTCAGCCAATCAAAAGTAAGGAGTCTTATGAAAAATGCATGTTATGTAACTATTTCAAAGTAAACATATTTAGAAACGATCCTGGTAAACTTATCGACCCTTTGAATAAACTTATTCTAAAAGGTTACTAATTCAACACCGTAATTAGATCTTTGAATATTGTTTTTATTGGTATTAATATTGATTTTGTTATCAGCAAATTAAAAGCAAACTAAATATCATTGTTAATTACATATGCATATTCATGGCTCTACAATCTGTCGATACCTGTATCTTGGCATCGCACAAGGTCATGTTTTTCTCCGACTGTTTGATGTCTTTACACTGAATCCATTGGATGTTGGATGTTTACTGATTGAAAATTTAGTCTTAGATGCATGATTTGTGTATTAGTTGTTATTGGTTTTGAACTAGCTGTCAGTAAATGCGAGTACTTTCAGATCTTTACTTAGTGTCTTTTTGTTGTTGGGATGTACAAGTACCCGGCCACGTCCACTCTGTGTTTTTGTTAGATGTATTTCTATTTGTATCCATCTGATGAGTTATGCCTTTTTCAACTGATTTTTGTAGTTTTTGTCTTATGTTGTACTGTTACACTAATGTCCCAGGTTAGAGGAGGGTTGGGCGCCCGCTAACATGTTTAACCCCGCAACATTATGTGTGTTCCTATCCCAAGTCAGGAGCCTGTAATTCAGTGGTTGTCGTTTTCGTTTATTTTTTTGTACATTAATTATGCCGTTAGTTTTCTCGTTTGAAATGTTTTACATTTGTCATTTCGGGGTCTTTTATAGCTGACTATGCGGTATTGGCTTTGCTCATTGCTGAAGGCCGTACGGTGACCTATAGTTGTTAATTTCTGTGTCAATTGGTGTCTTGTGAAAAGTTGTCTCATTGGCAATCATACCACATCTTCTTTTTTGTATAACCCCATTGAGCGTTAACAAATGTATTTAACCCCGCCACATTCATCACGTGCTTGTCCCAGGTCAAGTGTCTGATGGCTGGTTACTGTGTGTTTTATTTGTTTT